ATAAAAATATAAATTTTGAACTCGGCTTTTTAAAAGATATTTGTGCACTCTGTTTACATCCACTAAAATCACGGAGTAAAATTCTATTTACAGCATTTCAAAGCACCACAATAAAATCCATAAAAATGTAATACTAGTACAATGAATTACTAGTATTATCTTGCCGAGAATTTATATGCCACACATCTGATATATTCCTTTCTTGTCATTTTATCTTTTCTATACTTGTTGTACTTGCCAATAACGAAGTCCATCTTTTCTTTCTCGTGTCAAAACGAAGTTCTCGAACAATATGACCGAATTTTATCTTAAACATAAGGGAACACTATTTATATCCATATATTACCATGCAATATACATTCTAGGTTTACTACATGTACATGTATTTACTTGTATAGCAAATAAAGTATCGGGGCTAGTAATAAAAAAAATAAAATAGGCGCTAATGAAAGAATCAAATCGGCGCAAATAAATTAAAATATAAAAGATCGAAATTTTTTTTAAATCGGCGCAAATCTCGTACGCCCGTGTAACTTTACACTGGTAAATTTATATGACTTACGCTTAGAATTTTAACTTCATATGTGATTTTCAAAACTGAGTTTTCAGAAGGTTAGGCCGATAAACAATACTTTCTAGAAGTTTCGATATACTGGCAACGTATGCATGTTGAGATTAACTTATTTCTTTAAGATTCTCGTGAAATAATGGTGATCTTGCAATGAAGTTAAATTTTATCTATACTGCTTAATTGACAAAATCTTATAGTAAAAATAAAAATGATATAGGTTCATTGTCTTTTGTCATTTGTTTCATTTCAAATTGTCTCAAGGAGAAATGATAAAGATTTCGCCTGATCTCACAGAAGCTTAAGGCAAAAAATATAAGAAATTAATATACTCAGTGAATGTGAATTAACATAAAAATTTACGGTTTTTAAAACTAAACTTGTTGTAAATTTAACTTATGACAAAAACAATTGTTTCAAGAATAAGATCCAACATAAAATTTCTCACTTTCAAAAAGCTACAATGACCGGAAAGATTGAAAACAAATTTCAATTTTCAATGCCGGAAATCTATACATACAACCTTGTCTTTGTTTTAATTTCCAAAATGAGCTATTTAGATTCATAATATTCATCCTGTTTTGAGAAATACTTTAAAGTTTTCAACGGGAAATTATTTCTTAGATTCTAAATCAATTTTTGAATTAAAAACTTATTTGTATTTTATATTTACTGTCTCGTTTATTCAAAACACGTGAGGTAGTAATAACGGGGATCGTATTTTATGATAGGTTAAATGGATGTAAAACGTTTTAGAATCAAAAACTTTAATTCATATATTATACCTATAATTTTAATTTTCTTATATTTTAAATATTCAGAAATAATGAATCCACAAACTAGATGGAATAATTTGTATACGCTCGTCTTAGTCGGGACACATAATGGTATAAAGAAGTTCGTCCGTGCTAATGTCTGTCCGTCTGTCAACAGTAGCGAAAGAGTACGCTAGGGCGAAGTTCTGAAATTGACGCGACAAAAAACCACACATCTAGTCTAATATAGTCAAATAGTCTGTAAGTTAGCCATTGTCATCTTTCATTTCTCTTTTTATTTTCAATGATTTTGCTAATGAGAGGGAGAGGACAAAAACAGACTTTCCTTTCTAAAGCGTCGTAAAAGGTTATTTCGAACAATTTTTCATTCCGACGGATGGTGTTTCTGAAGGTTAATTTTGTGCGGCAACAACATCATGAGATCTTATACTGATACATACATGTGATCTCTTGTATTACCGGATAATAAAGTAGGTGAATATAGTTGTTATTCTTGATTCTTGAAAATTTAAATGTGGGTTTCAAACGTCCAATTTGCAGTTTTTTTTCAAACAGTGCGCCAGCAAGGAAAGCTTGTACTATGACGTCAGATTCAATGTTCAGAAGAAAGACAACTCTTTTCTTCAAAACGAACGAGAAAAAAACCTGAAAATTAATCATAACTTTTTTGAAAGGTCGGTGACATATACATTTTTTTGCTTTATTTTGAAGAGTACACATGGCACTTTCCTTCTTGAATTTTTTATGAAAAAATCACTGGTAGATATTTTTTAATACTTGAAACGTTTTTCATTCTTGCGTTTTATTTTTGGCGGGAATGAAATAAATCATATTTTTTAAGATCAAAACAATAAGAGTCTTAAACTCTTGAACCTGTATTTGATAGACACAAATCTTCTGTTTAACCTGAGACTACTATAACACACTCTGTGTTATAGTAGTCTCAGGTTTAACATGAAACAAAAATTATGCTTGTAGGTTTGCTATAATGGGATTTTTTGAGAGTTTAAATAACAAGCAAATATCATGTTAATATTCGGGAAAACACGAAACTGAGGTTGCTATAGTGACAAAACTAAGTCGGTGACCCCCAATTTTTTTTATCATATTTTGTTCCTCAAATCATGAAATACCTTCACACAAAATTTTAAGGAAAAATCACTGGTAGAACTGAATAGGCTGTTTGGTCTTTAACGCTACACACAGGCACTTGTCTCTGAAAAAAAAATTCTATATACCTTGTTATAAAGTATATAGTTAGGATTTTTTTTCCGGAGCATTGCGGGACAAGTGCCTGTGACGCTACACTATAAAACTACACCAAGATTCACGACTTCTCTTTGAATGAATACAATATTGTATGTTTGTTAATTTTTTCATATTTTTTCTTGTAACAACCTAATATTTGGATTTGACACCAATAAAATGATTTGTACACCTTTTGAAAAATGAATTTTGACATGTAAAACATTTTTTTCTCTCAATATGACAATAATTCATCATTTTGAAGAAGATATTCAACTTTATATTTTGATTTTGAGCTGATTTCAACAAAATTTCTAACTTAATAGGCTACTGTCCTGGCAGATTTTTTTACCTTTAAAAATCGAAAAAAATATTTAATTCTAGATTTTTAGAATAAGTATTCCCTAAACTTTATAATCGTACAAAAATATTATGCCAGACAGTTGTTTTGGAGAAATTATTTCAATTATAAGTAAATTTTTCTCGTCAATTTCAGCCATTTTTTTCTTAAAATTTAACTGTCCTGGCAGATTTTTTTTAACTTATTAATTTTTTATTTTAAATATTTTTACAAATAATGTAAGTATATGGGCGTTTTTTCAATAAAAGTGTGAATTTCAGACCTAAAAAAAATGGAAAATCAACTTGTCTAAAATTTTATTTCTAGAGTTATTTTGAATACCTCTATTATAGACCTGTTTGTAAATAAAAAGTGCAATCTTAAATACTCTTTAAAATGATATTATTTTCATAATTTATATACTGTTTCGTAGGGGACATTTGTCCACTACGAAACTGCTTCTAAACGCACATCTTATTGCATTTTAATGTCTCCTATAGACATTCCAGTTTGTTTTACATTATATACAAGAACAATCTCATTTTTTTCTGAATTGGAGAACCATTTTTTATCTATAAAGATTAGACAGTACTTCACATATGAAGGTACAACTCATGTTACGTAGTGGACATTTTGATGAGTTTCGTAGTTGACAAAACCGTTTCGTAGTGGACAAAAAGTTTCGTAGTTGACATCAACCCTATTCTATGTTGATAAAATCATACAGAAAATTACATAAAACTAACCCTTGTTATTTGTTTTGCACGAATATAATTGAAAAAAGAGTAAAAGACGACTGCATGGTAGTGGTAGTGTCCACTACGAAACGTTTTTCTCCCATACTTGTTTCGTAGGTGACCGTTTCGTAGTGGACATACTAGTATATATATTTGTTTAGGGGCCAGCTGAAGGACGCCTCCGGGTGCGGGAATTTCTCGCTGCATTGAAGACCTGTTGGTGACCTTCTGCTGTTGTCTGTTCTATGGTCGGGTTGTTGACTCTTTGACACATTCCCCATTTCCTTTCTCAATTTTATATTCACATGTTTTATTTTTTCCCCACAATCCCTATATTGCAATAGTAACAAGAATGATTTTATTCATCAAAGCACGTACTAAGCTGTACACTGATATTTTTCATAATTTTAAAACCAGATACTGAAGGAGATTTGACCCATTTCGTAGTGGACATTAACAAAAATACGGTATCACTCTGGTCCATTTGATGTGCTCAATTTTTTTTGCCAACAATTTAACTGCTGTTTGAAAAGCATCACTTCTTTTATAAGACCCTAATGTTTATATCTCTTGCAAACATTGATTTTATAAAACTGTTTATTAGCAAAATTTAATGACTTCGTTTCGTAGTGGACATTTTGTCAGGAATGTCAGGGACACACCTTCTAAAATTAAAAATCCTTTGTCAAAAGCTGTTTATTAAAATATGTTGGCTCTAAACATACTTTTGAGTAATTAAAGAACTTATATTAAGCCACGGTAAAAATAATATTTATTTATACCTTTTTTTTACAATATTATAGAGTATGAAGGTTGAACAGACGGTCTAGGGACATGCCATTTTGGTTATTTTGAACCATTCAGGAATCAATATCTTATTAATCCCTCTAAAAATAGTATGTTTCTTTGCTTAATAATGTTAAATCTTATTCAATGTACTTACTGCACAAAAAAATACTTGTAAAGATCAAACACATTTTTTTAAAAGTGGCTGGGACAAGAATTCACGTTTTTATTGAAAAACGCCCATATACCATGTTCTTTGTTATACAATTTAAATTTTAACAATATGTAGGTTAAAAAACGTATCGAAAATAACTGTCCTGGTTTTATCTGTCCTGTTTTTAGACCTTCCCATCATTTCGTATATACAATAATACTATATTTATTAAATGTGTGTCAGTTGATACAATAGAGAGGTAAGAATTTTCTCCAATGTAGACTCTCCTGAGCTTAATTCTTGCCAAACACGGTTCAAGCTATAGGCCTAGGGAAGTATCGACAACCCTTCAGGTACCCCTTTTTAACACGTGATAATTTAAATGTGACGTAGGACCCAGCCATTTTGCCTTCTGTAGAATTATATTGCTTCCTGTTAGAAAAAGTAAAGTAAGGATTAAAAAAAACGGTAATTGTTCATTATTTGTATGAAAACTGTAATCAGAAAGCGCGTAATCTGGTTTATCAATCTTCAATTACCTAATGTCTGGTCAAATTTTGGCAAAAGAGTGGCGGATGATACCCGACTCGAACTTCAAACTCACAAGTCGAAGACAAACTCTGAAACTGACAACGCCTAGTCCATAGATAATTCTACTATTTCACAAAGTGCGAAACTGAACATAATTTAATGAAAATATGTTGCAATTTAAAAGAAGTTATGCAAATTTAGTGACCTACCGACGTAAATAATTGGGCAGTATTGGTAGAAGACTCTATCAATCTCATTTTATCTACTGAGAAAAATTGTGGATCTTTTTAAAATCTGCAGCAATGTAAGTAAACAAACAATTCGGATCTCCTGTACTTAACTTATAGCGATCGTAATACTGGTATAAACTAATAGCGATCATAATACTGGTATATACACCTTATCGCTATTCCCGCTTGACCCGAGAATCTGTCCCGCTCGAACTTTTGACGTCATACAACAATCACTTTTCCATTGTGGCGTCAGACATTTTCTATTGTGACGTCAAAATTTTACAGGAACTTGTGTGATGTGCAGTAATGGCGGACAAATAGCGATAAGGTGTATTGTATTCCAGTATACACCTTATCGCTATTTGGAAGTCTGCGCGGGTTGACCCGAAAATCTTCGCTGCTTGAACTATTGACGTCATGTAACAACAATCACTTTTCCATTGTGGCGTCAGATATTTTCTATTTTGACGTCAAAATTTTACGGGAACCTTTGTGATGTCCAGTAATGGCGGACAAATAGTGATAAGGTGTATTGTACCAGTATAATTTGTGGTTTAAAAACAATTATAGGGGGGGGGGGGGGGGGGGCAAAACATAATAAATGAAAAGACAGTGAATTTGTTTATTGGCCGGGTTCTTTGTAAAGAGTGAATTATGCCCCTTTATAAATGGAAAAATTGCAAATTTTTTATTTTCTTCTAAATATCAAGTAATTTTTATACGACCGCAAAAAAATTTTGTGGTCGTATATTGGTATGACGTTGGTGTCGTCGTCCGGTGTCGTCGTCCGAATACATATTGGTTTTCGCACTCTAACTTTAGTTTAAGCGAATGGATCTTTTTGAAATTTGACCATAAGGTTAAATACCACAAAAGGAAGGTTGGGATTGATTTTGGGGGTTATGGTACCAACAGTTAAGGAATTAGGGGCCAAAAAGGGGCCAAAAATGAGCATTTTCTAGTTTCCAGACAATAACTGTGGAACGGTGTATGGATCTCTCTGAAATTATACTACAAGTTTCCATACCACAAAGGGATGGTTAGGATTTGCTTTGGGGGGTTATGGCTCAAACCGTTTAGGAATTACGGGCAAAAAAGGGGGAAAAACAAGGTTGTCCTGGTTAATGGACAAATACTTTAGTACAAAACATAATTTAAAGCAGTGTAAGGGAGATAAATCAAATACATCATTGAAATTATCTCCCTTTCACTGCTTTTAAATTATGTATAAAGTAATGGTTAATGAACAATAAAGATAATCTAAAACAGTGTAAGGGAGGTAATCCAAATACAACGTTTTGGTTACTTCCCTTACACTGCTTTTAAATTATGTTTAAAGAAATGCATATTTATAAAGGAAGACCAGTAAAAATATCTGCAAATGTTTTCATCTTTTTTTTTTACAAAAAAATCAATCTGAAAGATTTGACACTATATTTTTATTAATTCTATTATAAAATAGATTAAGTTAGCACTATGGTAAATTTAAATGGGTAATTATGGTTGCCAACTCCATTGGAAATTTGAATTGAGATTATGACCATATCTTGAGGGAAAGAATTTTTTTGGGGGAAAAAGGGGGGGGGGGATAAAAAGAAATTGTGGGGGGCCAATTTTTTCTCATTTCAGATTTCAGAAATTAAAAAGAATTATTCTTCAAATATTATTTTTTTTTCAAATTTCAAATATTGAAAAATTTCAAGAAGTAATCTTTAATTGCACAGTATGGCGCATTAGATTTGTAAAATCTTTGATCACATTTATTTATTTGTTATGCCGAATCTAACAGTGTATTTAGATTTTTAATTTTGGGTCCAGTTTTCAAATTGGTCTACATTGAGGTCCAAAGGGTCCAAAATTAAACTTTGTTTGATTTTAGCAAAAATTGAATATATGAGGTTCTTTGATATGCTGAATCTAAACATGTATTTAGATTTTTGATTTTTGGCCCAGTTTTCAAGTTGGTCCAAATTGGGGTCCAAAATTAAACTTTGTTTGATTTCAACAAAAATTGAATATATGGGGTTCTTTGATATGCTGAATCTAACCATGTATTTAGATTTTTTATTTGTGGACCCCGTTATCTAATTGGTTCATATTGAGGTCAAAAGGGTCCAAAATTAAACTTTGTTTGATTTCATCTAAAATTGAATTATTGGGGTTCTTTGATATTCCAAATCTAACCGTGTATTTAGGTTTTTAATTTTGGGTCCTGTTTTTTAAATTGGTCTACATTGAGGTCCAAAGGGTCCAAAATTAAACTTAGTTTGATTTTGACAAAAATTTAATTCTTGGGGTTCTTTGATTTGCTGAATCTAAACATGTGTTTAGATTTTTGATTATGGGCCCAGTTTTCAAGTTGGTCCAAGATAGGGTCCAGTAATTTAAACTTTGTTTGATTTCAACAAAAATTGAATATATGGGGTTCTTTGATAAGCTGAATCTAAACATGTATTTAGATTTTTGATTATGGGCCCAGTTTTCAAGTTGGTCCAAATTGGGGTCCAAAATTAAACTTTGTTTGATTTCAACAAAAATTGAATATACGAGGTTCTTTGATATGCTGAATCTAACCATGTATTTAGATTTTTTATTTGTAGGCCCCGCTATCAAATTGGTTCATATTGAGGTCAAAAGGGTCCAAAATTAAACTTTGTTTGATTTCATCGAAAATTGAATTATTGGGGTTCTTTGATATGCCAAAACTAACCGTGTTTTTAGATTTTTAATTTGGGTTCCGTTTTTTAAATTGGTCTTCATTGAGGTCCAAAGGGTCCAAAATTAAACTTAGTTTGATTTTAACAAAAATTGAATTCTTGGGGTTCTTTGATATGCTGAATCTAAACATGTGTTTAGATTTTTGATTATGGGCCCAGTTTTCAAGTTGGTCCAAGTTGGGGTCCAAAATTAAACTTTTTTTGATTTCAACAAAAATTGAATATATGGGGTTCTTTGATATGCTGAATCTAACCATGAATTTAGATTTTTTATTTGTGGGCCCCGCTATCAAATTGGTTCATATTGAGGTCAAAAGGGTCCAAAATTAAACTTTGTTTGATTTCATCAAAAATTGAATTATTGGGGTTCTTTGATATTCCAAATCTAACCGTGTATTTAGATTTTTAATTTTAAGTCCCGTTTTTTAAATTGGTCTACATTAAGGTCCAAAGGGTCCAAAATTAAACTTAGTTTGATTTTAGCAAAAATTGAATTCTTGGGGTTCTTTGATATGCTGAATCTAAACATGTGTTTAGATTTTTGATTATGGGCCCAGTTTTCAAGTTTGTCCAAGTTGGGGTCCAAAATTAAACTTTGTTTGATTTTAACAAAAATTGAATATATGGGGTTCTTTGATATGCTGAATCTAACCATGTATTTTGATTTTGGACATTGGACCATAATAGGTAAATTAAAAAAATTCAAGTTCTTAGACCACATTGTTACTGTGTCAGAAACCTATGCTGTGTCAAATATTTAATAACAATCCAAATTCAGAGCTGTATCAAGCTTGAATGTTGTGTCCATACTTGCCCCAACTGTTCAGGGTTCGACCTCTGCGGTCGTATCAAGCTGCGCCCCAGCGAGCATTATACGACTGCAAATAAAATTTTTGCGGTCGTATATTGGTATGACGTTGGCGTTGTCGTCGTCCAAAGACACATTGGTTTTCGCACAATAACTTAAGTTTAAGTGAATGGATCTTTATGAAATTTTACTATAAGGTTCAATACCACAAAAGGAAGGTTTGGATTGATTTTGGGGGTCATGGTATCAACAGATAAGGAATTATGGGCCAAAAAGGGTCCAAAAATAAGCATTTTTGTAACTTCCAGACAATAACTTGTGTTTAAGTGTATGGATCTCTCTGAAATTATACCACAAGTTTCTGTACCACAAAGGGATGGTTAGGATTGGCTCTGGGGGGTTATGGCTCAAACCGTTTAGGAATAAGGGGGAAAAAACAAGGGTTTCCTGGTTAATGAACAATTATAAAGCAGTGTAAGGGAGGTAATCCAAAAACAAAATTGTTCAATGTTGTACAATGTTGGATTACCTCCCTTACACTGCATTTAAATTATCTATTTAAGACTTTTATGATGTATTTAAATTGGTAATTATGGTTGCAAACTCCATTGGAAATTTGAATTGAGATTATGACCATATCTTGAGGGAAAGAAATTTTTTTTGGAAAAAGGGGGAGAGGGGGGTAAAAAAGAAATTGGGGGGGGGGGAATTTTTTTTTTCATTTCAGATTTCAGAAATTAAGCCTTTCAACGCTATACACAGCATATGCTGCGATGACGTACACCGCCCGCCACTGCTGTTCGCTGCATATGTCGCGATGACGATTGATTTTTCATCCAGACTTGTAACCATTCTGTTTTCATTCGGGTCCTCTCTAATTTTTCCTCATATGAATCGAGGAAATACGAGGTCCCGTTTCTGCTTGAAATCGTGGGAATTTTAATGGATAAAGCATGCAGTAGAAGAAAAATTTAAGAAAAATATTTTGACAATTGCAAATGGCGGAATTAGAAAAAGAACCTGTAAATATGGAAATATTATAGCATTTCTATGGGAAAACTGACAATGAGGAATAGTTAAAAGGTTTCCCGTTATCTAAATGTGTTAATTACATTCAATTCGTGTGGGAAATATGATTTGGTCGATCTTTACAAGACTTAGAAAAAGGGGGGGAAACGGAGGTTGACTGAAAATTTTGAGGACGGAGCCACTTATTTGCGCCACATTTACATTATACGTTGTGTATGGTGCAAATACGCTACGGAATCGAGCAACTGGTGTCTTCTTTATTATATGGCAGCTAAAACAACAAAATAAATGAAGATTAAAAGTTGTTTTTATTAAAAATTCAACACAAATACAATAATTTACACCTTTTACCTGTTTATTACCTGAAAATGCAGGTAGCTTTATGAAAATTTTACTAAAATAATTGCCTAACATTACAGTTCATGCTCTCCTGAGCATTTTTCATGCACTAACTTTGTCTGTATCTCTAATAATATAAAAGATACAGCAGTCTGAAAAGGAATATACTGTTCTAATGAATGAACACAAAAAAAATGCAGCAGCAGCAGCCATTTTTCTATTTTTTTTGTGTAAAGAGTTAAAAAAGAAAATTTCTTCAAATATTTTTTTTTTTGCAAAAAAAAAAGGGGTGGGGGTAAAAAAAAATTTAATTTTTTTTTTTTGGGGGGGGGGGGGGGGTCAATATGCAACAGAATAGTGTATTTCACAAAAGCAAAAAAAAAGGGGGGGCAATTCGCAACAGCATAGTGTAATACAAATCATATAACCAATTCTAAGTTCTTTGACTACAGTTATTCTGTGTCAGAAACCTATTATGTGTCAAAAATTTAATTACAATCCAAATTCAGACCTGTATCAAGCGCGAATATTGTGTCCATTTATCGCCCCAACTGTTCAGGGTTGGACCTCTGCGGTCGTATCCAGCTGTGCTCAGCGAAGCATTTTATTTTACAATACTGGAACAAAATTTTTATTCCAGTATTGTAGACAATACTGGTACATGTATACCTGTAATTAAGACAATACTCATGATACTGGTATACCAGTATTGTGATCACCAAGTACAGTACCAACAATTCTAATGTAATTAAGCATCTAATGCCAATTTTGATTGGACGAGGTCTGCCATCTATTCCAATATTGACAGTCGGAGGATATTTGAAATACTTTTTAAATTTTGAACATTTTAAGAGTACTGCATGAGAATAGGGATAACAGTACTGTAGTTGAAGTATTGCCAACATCAATTTTGGATTTGACAGTCGCAAATATCTGTTTTTTAGGCTCAGCTCTGGGTTGCCAGTAAAACTGCATTTGAGACCGTCAAATCCCCTACTGATGGTGGCAACTCTTTAAATACATTACTTTATTTCCTTGAATATGCAATAGCGCTATAGCAAGATTTTCTTGTTCACCACCACTGCATTCGAAGAGTAAAATATGGAAGTTGTGCACAAAATTCTTACTTCATGTATCTTTCCACCAGTGATTTCAGATCACTTTGATTTATGCTGACGTTTTATTGTGTGGAATATATCTGTTTCAAATCATTTACAAAACACAGAACATCATTTTAACCTTTTTTGTGTTTTTTTTAAGATACAAAATATGATAAAAATGTATCTTATGCATAATGATGCATCCAAAGTTAGGTGAAGTGTTAAAAAAATTTAAACCGGAAGTGAACCTCCCAATGTGCTAATACAGCTTTTTCAGTACTTGTCTGGACCGAAAAGCAATATTAACGCATAATTTATATCAATAGGGCAACGTCATCAGTATTGCACATGCTGATTTATCTGTTTTAGGGCTGATCATATCATTTAAAAAAATTTAGTCACAATACTAAACTGAAATTAATAATTATGCAATAATTGCACAAATTTACCATTAGAATTTCTTACAAAAGAAAGGTTAAAGTCTTATTTTGAATTAAACAGAAGACAAATATTCTTCCAAACAAAAGATTTCCATTGGATCATTCTGTTATCTAAGGTTTTTATACTACCGCAAAAAAATTTTTGTGGTCGTATATTAGTATGACGTTGGCGTCGTCGTCGTTGTCGTCCGAAGACACATAAGTTTTTCGCACTCTAACTTTAGTTTAAGTGAATGGATCTCTATGAAATTTAACCATAAGGTTCAATACCACAAAAGGAAGGTGGGGATTGATTTTGGGGGTTGTGGTACCAACAGTTAAGGAATTAGGGGCCAAAAAGGGGCCAAAAATAAGCATTTTTGTAACTTCCAGACATAACTTGTGTGTAAGTGTATGGATCTCTCTGACATTGTACCACAAGGTTCCATATCACAAAGGGAATGCTGGGATTGATTTTGGGGGTAATTGCCTTCAAATTTTAGGAATTAGGGGCAAAAAAGGGGCAAAAAACAAGCCTTATTCTAGTTTCATGACAATAACTTGTGTGTAAGTGTATGGATCTCTCTGACATTGTATCACAAGGTTCCATATCACTAAGGGAATGCTGGGATTGATTTTGGGGGTAATTGCCTCCAAATTTTAGGAATTAGGGGCCAAAAAAAGGGGCAAAAAACAAGCATTTTTCTAGTTTCATGACAATAACTTGTGTGTAAGTGTATGGATCTTTATGAAATTGTACTACAAGGTTCCATATCACAAAGGGAAAGCTGGAATTGAGTTTGGGGGTAATTGCCCAAAAAGTTTAGGAAAAAGGGGCCAAAAATAAGCATTTTTCTAGTTTCCAGACAATAACTTGTGTTCAAGTGTATGGATCTCTCTGAAATTGTACTGCAAGGTACAAAATGTACCATACCACAAAGGGAAGACTGGGATTGATTTTTGGGGTAATTCCCTCAAAATTTTAGGAATTAGGGGCCATAAAAGGGCAAAAAAACAAGCATTTTTCTAGTTTCAGGACAATAACTTGTGTGTAAGTGTATGGATCTTTATGAAATTGTACTGCAAGGTTCCATATCACAAAGGGAAAGCTGGGTTTGAGTTTGGGGGTAATTGCCCTAAACGATTAGGAATTTGGGGCCAAAAAACAAGCATTTTTCTAGTTTCCAGACAATAACTTGTGTTCAAGTGTATGGATCTCTCTGAAATTGTACTGCAAGGTACCATACCACAAAGGGAAGGCTGTGATTGAGTTTAGGGGTGATGAATCACAAGGGGGTTCAAAAAATTTGGGGGGGGGGGGGGGTTTCCTTTTTTTTCTTTAAAATTTTCCATTTTAAATTGGTTATTTCTGATTTATATATAAAAGCAAATAATAATGATATGGTTTGAATAGGTAAATTCAGAATTTTTTTTAAGTTCTTAGACCACTTTCATTCTGTGTCAGAAACCTATGCTGTGTCAAATATTCTATTACAATCCAAATTCAGTGCTGTATCAAGCTTGAATGTTGTGTCCATACTTGCCCCAACTGTTCAGGGGTCGACCTCTGTGGTCGTATCAAGCTGTGCCCCAGCGGAGCATTTTATTCCAATTATGATCAAAACTGTTCCTGGCTTAGGCACCATCAAATTTACCCCTCCAACAAATTCAAAGCCTTTGTAAATGAGACCTATGAGTGACAAACAAAATGAAGTATTTATTTCCTGGAAATGAAACGCCCATCATGAACAACATCAGGAAATAAATGATGGATATAAATATATTTGAAGCTTTAATAACTTCCTTAATCACACTGTTCATGTTTTTTGACATTGTTAAAAGACAAAGTTTTAAAGCTATTTACTTATATTTCAGTACAAAATGACAACAGTTTGGCCAGATCCTCCGATGGAAGTAAACCTGAACCAGACAGCTATGCACAGTGAGAACCCTCTGAAGAATGTTGAGATAAAAAAAGATGGTTTCTTCCAATTACAAAGTGGCACAGATTTTCTTCTGTCAAGTAATTTAAATGTGTTATTGAATGCATCAAAGTTGGTGGAGATTGATCAGTTTAAACATGGTAAACAAGGTAAGAACTGTTTTAAATTGTTATTTAAAAAAGATCATGTGTCCTGATCAGTCCTAATTCTCTGATTAAACAAATTAAATCACCTGTTTTCTTAAATAAATACATGGCTGTTTTATATTTTGTACATCTGCACTGATCACTTTACCAATAAATTGTATTATATGTTTCGATCCAACCACAGAGCATTTGTATTTAGATATAAACAGCTACTAAACACAGTATAAGATAAGAGTTTTAACAATTATTCAACAAAGTAATGTCTGAGTTTTCTACAATAATATAACTATCTGATTAATATTATCAAAACATTTTCAATATAAAATAAAAATAAGTTACAATGTACAAGAAACACCTAAAATGTCACATAGTACAACAGACCATATTAACCACCAACACCTGAAAAATAGACATACTATATACTAGCTAACAGTGATCAAAACATGGTCAAGATAGCAGGATTTTGTTAGTTTGTACAGACACTAATATTGTAGGGTTAAACCAGTTTTACGTTGAATAAAACCATTCATTATATGAGTGCCAACCTCATCACTACCTTACTTAAGCTTGAACAAGGACATAAATAATGGCACATTATTTTATATGCAGGGTCAAAATATGCTTACTACTACACTAAAGTAGTCAAGGAAGCTACAGCTTTGTAAGTTTTGTTTTATATATTAAGGAAATAATAGTTATTCAAGGAAGGATTTAATATTTTCAGATCATACATTATCAAAAAGATTGCCACCTAGAGATCATATATCCGACAGTAACTGTCAAAGTTCTGACCAGATAGTTATACAGAACCAATCTGTAGGGCCACAGGAACCTGTACCTCTTAAAAATGTTGGAGCAATTCCAACAAAATTCAGTGTCAATGAACTGGAACCTGAGGATAAATGCAACCAGGTCAAACCTATCTATACAGCAGTGCCAGTTAATAATCCACATGTACAGTATGTTGGTGGATTGTACCAGTTGTTGAACGAGTGTGGTATTGAATACAGGGAGGAGACAGTTGAGTCACAAAATGATGTACCTGTTAGGGAGGTCACCACTGCTTGTCAGCAGTACACACAAGGGTAGGCTGGCTAACTCTACTCTTATTAATTATACATACATATCACACAAACATTGTCTACACAGCATGTCAGCAGTACACACAAGGGTAGGCTGGATAACTCTGTACTCTTATTAATTATACATACACATCACACAAACATTGGTCTACACTGCATGTCAACAGTACACACAAGGGTAGGCTGGATAACTCTGTACTCTTATTAATTATACATACACATCACACAAACATTGTCTACACTGCATGTCAACAGTACACACAAGGGTAGGCTGGATAACTCTGTACTCTTATTAATCAAACATACACATCACACAAACATTGTCTACACTGCTTGTCAGCAGTACACACAAGGGTAGGCTGGATAACTCTGTACTCTTTATTAATTATACATACACATCACACAAACATTGGTCTACACTGCATGTCAGCAGTACACACAAGGGTAGGCTGGATAACTCTGTACTCTTATTAATTATACATACACATCACACAAACATTGTCTACACGTTTATATTGTTCTTAGACACTTCAGCGAAATATAAACTAATTTCCTTTTTTGTTCATATTCTCAGGTGATCTACAGCATATAGATCTAACCTATGGCTTAATAGAAAACCAGTTCTCTTAACTTTCCTTATGAATGAAGAAAACCCAGTGACAAAAAAAATGTCTTAAGAGGTCAATATATAGTTTTCAATAGACATATGCTTTGAGCCAACACAATTAAATAATAAAAAAAACCCACATAAATCTAATACCGGTACATCTGTTAATAGTATCTCTATATTTACTATAGCCTTTATGATGAGATTTGACGAGTTGTATGTTATTTCCTTCTTTTTTTCTTTTTCAGACACATCATACATGGTGACAAAAATGCTTTGGAAATGTTGGCAAAAGATGTAATCAGCCTGAAGATTGGTACTCATGGTGTCATCACAAACCCGGTAATTATAACAAAAACATTAGGTGTTAGAACGACAATAATTTCTACTAAAAAAAGTTGTTCAAGAAAATATAAACAATATTATATGACCAATTTAATTTTTTGCATCAGTTGAATGTGTTGGTACAGAGATGCAACTTTTCGTCGGACCTGTCGGCCCGAGGGGGCAGAAATTTAGCAGGTCCGGCAAATTGGGCTTTTGTGCAAGACCTAATGACCAGCAGGCAGTTCTCTAGGATTTTAGTAAGATTTAGCATTTTTGGTGCTAACCTATTGATGGGGAATTGAAATTTGCCTTGTTGAAAATTTATTAATTAAAGTTAGTAAGTATGTTTGCTGTAGATGTTAAACATCAATGCTTTGTAGGTCAACTTTCGCGGTAAACAATAGGGATACATGAGATTGGGGAGAGAAACGGCAGTTTTCATTCTTTCTGTAACTGTAACTGTATTGCGAATCTTCTTCCAATAAAGGAGCACCTCAATTGATGAGTAATTATCCAGCAAAATAAAAGTTAATGTATCTGAACACTTAAAATGTGACATTTATTATATGAAAAGTAGTCTTCCATTAAAACAAAATTTTGTGAACCAACATAATGGTAAAAAAATTATAAAATTTTCAAATGTTGCTTTTTGAAGTTTAAACATATTTATTCATGCAATTTACATATATATCAAAATATACAAGGATAACAAAAAGTAAGATATGGAAACAAGCTGCACACAGCTTATATCAATCTGACTGATTTTTGTAAGTACATGTATCCCTGTGATGAGAGTTGTAACTGGGAACTTTAAAGAGGGAAATTTAAAACTGAATTGACTTTTCAGTCCTCACTTTCCTGAGAAAGTCGTAATCAATTAAAAATCTTAGAGCACTGTCAAAAAAAATGGAGAATGGCCCTAGCCTGATGTTCAGTGGTACACAATAAAAAAAATTAAAATATATTGTAGTAATTATTAAAGAACTCAATTGAATTTTAGATATTTTCTAAAAATAATCCACTAAAGCAGCTGTCACTGTAAAGACATCCTATCTCCGTTCTCTTACTGTATAAAAAGCTGATATAAAAAAAAATGTAGGTCTGGCAAAAATTTGATGGGTCTGACAAAACTTGCTACCCTGTAGGCCCCAATGTCTGACAGAAAAAAAAAACTGTTTGCATCTCTGTTGGTATCAGTCATTGTTAGTTAGGTTGTGAAAAAATTAAATAATTGTATTTTTGGTTCATTTCTAAACATTTTAATGCAGGGATATATTATTGATATTTTAGAAATTTGACTTCCTATGGAATTCTAAATGTTCTGTGAAAAAGCAGAAGATCCTTGGAAGAGGAGGCAATGGTACAGTGGAACTCTGCAATTATAATGATGTAGACTTTGTTACTAAAACGGTAAGTCATATCATTGTGTTAGATGTCATGTCTCAATAGTAGATAACAGTGGTACAGTGGAACTCGGCAACTATAGTAATGTTAAGTTTGTTACTAAAACAGTAAGTCATATCATTGTGTAAGATGTCATGTCTCAATAGTAGATAACAGTGGAACAGTGGAACTCTGCAACTATAGTAATGTTAAGTTTGTTACTAAAAAGGTAAGTCGTATCATTGTGTTAGATGTCATGTCTCAATAGTAGATAACAATGGTACAGTGGAACTCTGCAACTATAGTAATGTTAAGTTTGTTACTAAAATGGTAAGTCATATCATTGTGTTAGATGTCATGTGTCAATAGTAGATAACAATGGTACAGTGGAACTCTGCAACTATAGTAATGTTAAGTTTGTTACTAAAACGGTAAGTCATATCATTGTGTTAGATATCATGTCTCAATAGTAGATAACAATGGTACAGTGGAACTCTGCAACTATAGTAATGTTAAGTTTGTTACTAAAACGGTAAGTCATATCATTGTGTTAGATGTCATGTCTCAATAGTAGATAACAATGCTAAATATTAGGTATATAAGTTAAGATTTATAAGGAAGAAATTTTACAAGTTTTAATATTGATTGAAGTGATATTTTTAAGTCAACTGTTAAAAAGAGCTTCACCCAAGAAATTAAAAAAGCATACTCATTCCCATGAAAATAATCACATGGTTTTATCTTTGTTTCAGATCTCCAGAGATTTCAGAGCAAATGAAGTGATGTTTACAAACTGTCTGAGCCATGAGTTCATTGTTAAGTCACATGGTTTGATAGTGAGGAATGGAACCCCTCAAATCATCATGGATTATGCAGGTAAATAAACTAATGGATTAGTTGGAATGTATGGTGAAGTCACTGTATGATGTAAGCATTATAACACATATAACTAAATGGTGATGTAAGGTCAATATCAGTTGGATAGCATTCCATTTACAAATGGTCACCAAAAATAATTAAGTCAGCATACAGTTTTAGATTGACATTTGTAAAGGATATACTGAATTTAATTCAATGTTATTGGGATGATTTCTTGTTTGCATTATGCATTTTCATGGTCTTCATTCCAATGACTGTCTCACAGTCTGGACTAATGTCCCCAGATAAATTGCTATTGTTGAATTATTGTCAAGTTCCATTTCATCTGCACTAAAACTCCCCCTCCCCCTCTTTTCAGGCATGCATCATGAATTGTTATTCCTTGATTACAATATAAAAATAAGAAGATGTGGTATGATAGCCAATCAGACAACCTTTTACCAGAGACCACACAACGTAGAAGGTTAGCAACTATAGGTCACTGTATGACCTTCAACAATGAACAAAACCCATGCCTCATAGCCAGCTATAAAAGGCCAGAAATGATTCAGATATTAAATCAATTATAAATAAAGCCATTTAAAAAGCTTCTGAACTTTAATACCAAGCATAAATAACCTCAATGTTTGTTTAATTTCAAACTGGAAGTGATTTTTTAAGTTGGATAGATTTATTATGATGTAGACGACAGAATAGGTATGTGGTGTCAGACTTTTATGTAGTTTTATATCTTTTGTAGGAGACAACCTGTTACACTATGGTTTATCCAAAATGGTGGACGAAAGTGAGATCTGGAACATAACATATCAAATCCTGGAAGCCCTTAACTACTTACATTCCAACCAGATTAGACATTTTGATGTCAAACGTAAGTTACTTTACAGAAATATGTAAACTCTTTAATTCTGTCACAGATTTGATGCACAATAAATTTTGTTGGAGCTCATTAGTAATAGTATTCTCTGTGTTATTGCTTAGGTTGATCATTATGACACATGAAAGTACAGACACAGTTTGAAATGAATATTGATATGGTTTTTTCTTTGGTAAATTTTTCTTTAAACATTACATTAATTTGGAAATATTAGTAAATGTAAATTGACTCTTTTTTTACAGCTGAGAACATAGTACTTATGGAGGATGCTTCAGGAAACAAAACATTGAAACTGGCAGATTTTGGAGGAGCCACTCTGTTCACAGAGGAAGTGGACTGTCTTAGTTGGACTCCTGCTTACATGGCACCAGAAATGGACCAGTTTTATTTAAACAAACAATTCCCTGGACAAAGATTGATCACCACATCTTGTGGCCAGATCACAGAGAAATGTGATATCTACTCCTTGGCTTTGTCAATTCTGTTTCTGTATGTCAGGGGACACATTCTTATCAAACATATAACCAAAGGGGTTCAGGCAATGGTTGGGTATGAGAAAGCTGATACTGTCAGCATGAAAATTGTAGTTATGGTATGTAATGATTAATAAAAACAGTAAAAGCTCTAGAAAATTGTAATTTTTTTCTCATCATATTTGTAAATTGACTCAAAATGCCATGCATAACAGCTATAATACAAATAAAAAGAACTCGAATCTTTTTAGGGCAAATTTCTACAAAAAACTAGAAGGTCAATTTTTTTCAAGATAAATGATAATTTTGTATCGTTAAAGCTATTCATAACAGGCACACAAGTCTGGGAGAAACACATTATGTTGAAACACTAATTCTTCAAATAAATGGCAACAATAAATATATCAAATAAAAATGTCAATATATCTTTAAATAGATAAACTATGAAAATAATATGAATCAATTTTACAGAATGCTAAGAATCCAAGCCTTGCTGAAAGTCTGATTCCACAGGTTGTTGGTAAAGAAATGAAAAGCTTGTTATCTGGCATGCTGAAAGGCAATGTTGATGATAGATGGACAGCTAAAGCTGCTATGGATCAAATGAAAGGTTAATAATATTATTACAGTTAAAAGAAATGTCAGTAGTAATTTAATTTAGACTGACAACTAGTGAATTTCTAAAATCATGTCTTTGGAATTGTTTCAGAGTGCTGATGATATTTGTTTGTCTCTCATTCATTTTTAGTTTTGAAAAGTGCATGGGTGCTTGTACTAACATTTTTTTTAAAACAAAATTTGTGCTAACTATATACTTGACACTACACATGATATGCTAAAATTTGCATAATAAAGTTTTTTAAAACATGTGTGCCTATCGCTTGTGGTAAAATATTTAGCATAAAGGCCAACCTGTGGAACAATCAAAATAAATTGAAGCCCCCATGAATTATTTCTTAATTATCCAATATCTATCTATTTAGTTTCGACACTGAATAAACTATTTCCATTATTTATATTTCATATTTATTAAGGTATGTTGTAGATAAACCAGATTATATATGTCCTCAGCTTTAAACATGTAAATAAGATATTTCAAAGTTAGTAAACTCAGAAGTGAACATGTATAGAAATGCTGACAATTAATGTTTACTGAGAAATATTCAACAATAAGCTATAACATACCACTGATCATGATTAATTGGTTTATACAGGTGTAGTATAGAAAAGTTACTGTTAAATCATAAATATGGTAATCAGTTATACATTCAAACATTTTTCTGTTTACAGAACTGTCATCTGCTTCTCACAAGAGCATGGAACCTAAAAAGATCATTAGGAGAAAGTCCAAATCCACAGAAAACAAACCAAAGAATAGCCAGATCATAAGACCAAAAGTACCCAAACTTGTCATTGTTACACTCGACAAAACTGGTAAAAAAGTAGGAGAGTATAAAAATACAGAGCCATTCACCATACCAAGATATACAAACGGTAACACCTTAGAAACTGAGGAACACCAACGACCTTTACGTGATCTGAATATTGACCTTCAGTTGAATGTTATCATTGAACAGTCTAATAACGTGAAAGATGAGAAGATGAAACAGATTATTGATGAGGAGAATCGTCCATTACTGAAAAGGCTAGTCAAACGTAAACTTAAAGATAAAGTCAATGGAGAGATAGCTTTCAAGATGACAAAAATGAGAGAGGAACTTGAGAGCAGCGGTTCATCTTCAAGTGGCATGTCGATAAACTTTAGCGGAAGAGGACATGTTATTATGGCTCCTACAGAACCAGAAGTTGTTCCTATGAATGAAGGGCCAGGCAATATCCCTAATTTTGACATGTTTCTGGATTGTTGAGATGTTGTGACTTTATTGTTTGGGATTGTGTTTTCTTAAGTTTGTCCTTACAGCTGTATGAAACAAGATCTGTGACAACTATGTATATATAAATGACAGCAGTTGTAAGAAATATTTCAGAAAGGCCAGTAGATATAGTAAATAATTTTTTGGTTGGTTTTAAAATATTTTTAATGTTGAGGTGTTCTTTGTTCTTTTCTTCCATTTCATTAAGATTTGAGATGTATATCATAGACCTTTTGTAATTTAAACTTAGCATAAACTTCAACAGAGTTATAATAGATTACTGACTGGGAATTCCTAATCTTTTTCTGTCTTCACAAACCATAGAATTTAAAGCTATTAGTTTCATATTCTCATTAATTTGGATTTCCCAATATATAAATATAAATCAGTTATTGAACTTATGTACAATTTTATATGGAGTTCACCAATTGATAGAATAAAGAGAGATGTTTTACAAAATGATATTGAAGATGGTGGACTCAAAATGATAAATCTTAGTGCATTTATTTTAGCACTGAAGTGTACATGGATAAGGAAATTATTTAAAACAGACAACAAATGGCAGAATGTTTTTTTGTCAAATGTTCATGTAGAACTTGAAAAATTTTATGGTTGTGGAAGTGTTTATATACAAAAATTACAACAAAATATCAAAAATAAATTTTGGCAAGATGTTCTGAAAACATGGAAACTTCTCAGAGAAATAGATGAATATGACAGCTGGGAATGCTTTCTTGCTAGTCCAATCTGGCTTAACAATAATATAAAGGTAGCAAATAAACCTATTTTTTATAAAGATTGGTTTGAAAATGATATAAGATTTATAAATGATATTGTAAATGAAGATGGGATTTTTTTCTCTCATCAAAAATTAGAAGAAATGTATCAGATAAATGTGTATTTCATGAGATATAATAGTATTATATCTGCTATACATCAAGCATCAAATTCATTTGTGGGAAAAAATCACAAATTAGAACTACCTTTAATTTCATCTGCTATTAAAAGACTTGTAAAAATTTCAAAAGGATCTAAAGATATGTATATTGTTTTAAATAAAAATAAAAGTGTTCCCACTAGTCGGTTAAGATGGACTGAAATTTTTGGCTTTGATCAAAATCATTGGAAAAAAATTTATAAAATGCCATTTGTTGTCACAAATAATACTAAGTTACAGTGGCTACAGTATAGATTCAATCATCGAATCTTAGCTACAAACAAATTTCTTCATAAAATTAAGATTTATGATAATCCAAATTGTACATTTTGTAATAGAGAAATTGAAACATTAGAACATTTATTTTGGGAATGTGAACATACACAATTATTATTAGAACAGATTGAAAATTGGTTTCTGACCAATGGAATTAGTGTACTTTTTACAAAAGAAGTTTTTTGTTTGGTAACATTGCAAAAATATCAAAAGGCAATGCAGAAAATACTCTTTTTCTTACCATAAAGCAATATGTTTATAATACCAGATGTTTAAAAAAAAAAACTGTCAATAAACTCAGTAAAAGAGAAGATGAATTATGTATATGCAATTGACAAAAATATTGCTATGAAAAACAAATGTGAACATCAGTTTCTCAGAGAATGGAATATTTTTGATAGATTACTTTAATAGTTAAGTACAAAAATGTATATATTTTACATTTAATATTATACATGTTATAAATGAAAATGCTGTATTTGCTATACTAAAATAGAATTCAATGTCTAGATGAATTGTATTGAAAACTCACCACACTTTTCTCTCTCACTCTCTTTCTCTCTCTATTTCTCTCTCTCTCTCTCTCTCTCTCCAGTGTTCAGACTGCTTTACTCTTATCTTATATTTGTATATTTGAAAAAAAATTGCTTCCTCTTAAAAAGATGTATTGATTAGATAATATCAATAGATTTATATATTATATATTGTTATTATTTGTGTATATTATTATTGTAAATTGGAAGTTATAAATAATAAAAATTAAAAAAAAAAAGATTTGAGATGTATATCATAGTCCTTTTGTAATTTAAACTTAGCATTTCAACAGAGTTATAAATAGATTACTGACTGGGAATTCCTAATCTTTTTTGTCTTCACAAACCATAGAATTTAAAGCTATAAGTTTCATATTCTCATTAATTTGGATTTCCCAATATATAAATATAAATCAGTTGTATTTTATTAAACCTGAAGAATGCAAACAATAGTTGTGCAGATGCTTTCTTAATATTTTTATTTAAAAATATATGAAAAAGGAAAAATGCTTGTTATTATTGAAATAAAGGGAATCATTAAATTGAAAACATAGCATTGTATTATTGTACATTTATTTATTTATTTTGTATGTATATATGAGAGAATGTATTTATTTTGTTGTAAAAGAGGTTACTTGGAGGAATATTGAAAATGTTGACTGCTTCACAGATTCATTAGATTCCTCAAATATTGTAATTATGGTAACATGACATCTGTATTTTAGTGACTTTACATATGTAAGTGTTAACATTATTTATTTTCTCAAAACTATTAATTATATATTTTGAGAGTGGGAAAATTGTGCTTACAAATTATCACAGAAATAGTTTTGCTTTCAAATCGAAATTTATGAAGGAAATGAAATACAAAATACTTTTTTACAGCTGGTTAAAAAAAAAACTTGCTTGAGATCATTGGACACAGTGCAATGCTTAGTATATATGTAAAGATAGCAATACCTATGATTTTAATTTCATTATTTATGTATTTTATATTGATTGATTAAACCACAATTGGTTTTGATATACATTTGAATATGTTTCGTTTATTTGCTTTCTTCATATTTTTATCCAATAAAAGTTGTAAATAGAACTAAGATTTATCATTTTGATTAACTGCTTAAGTTGACATTTTCTCTATAAATAAGTAAACTGGTTTAAATCTCATAAAGAGAAGCACAGGGGTCAATAGAAATGAGAACAGGCAGAAGTATATGTAATGAAAATGATTAATAGATGTGGTGTCATCACTTTGATTTCAAAGGAAATAGCACATATGACTTGTGTGTATTATACTACAAGGGGTTGGGGGTAGGTCAGTTTTGTCCCATTAGTTGGCCCGTAAGTCAGTCATAATTGTTTCCAGATGTGAACTCAAATACTTAATGTTTGGTTACAACCTTATTTGGATACATGTCAAATATTATAAGAGGGAGATTTCTATTGATTTTGAGGTCAAAGGTCAAGGTCATATTTACTGAATATAGACTCGAAATTTGTTCAGTAAAGTGGTTTCCAAATGCTAAATGAAGTACTATGTTTAGGATTGAAACCTTGCTTGGATATAAAGTATAAAAATAAGGAGATATGGTATGATTGCCAAAGAGACAACTATCCACCAAAGTTCAAATGAAGTGGATGTAAGCAATTATAGGCAACTGTACAGCTTTCAACAATGAGAAAAACCCATACCGTATAGTCTGCTATAAAAGGCCCTGACATGAAAAATATAACACAATTCAATTGAGAAAACTATTAGCCTAATTTATAACAACAATTTACGAAATACAAATATGACGGACATGAACCAACAACAACCACTGAACTACAAGTTACTGTATTGGGACAGTCACATATAAAATGTGGCAGGGTTAAATATGTTTGAAGGCGCCAACCCTCCCCTAACCTGGGACAGTGGTATAACATTACAAAACAAGAACAAACTAAAAATCAATTGAAAAGGGCTTAACTTGTCAGATCGATACAAAGCAGAAAAACACAGACCTGTGGTGGCAGGGTATCAATACAACCCTAAAAACGAAAAAAGACACAAATAAAATTGAGAATGGAAATGGGGAATATGTCAAAGAGACAACAACCCGACCAAAGAGCAGACAACAGCCGAAGGCCACCAATGGGTCTTCAATGCAGCGAGAAAATCCCACACCCGGAGGTGGTCCTCAGCTGGCCCCCAACTAAAATTGTGTGCTAGTTCAGTGAAAATGGACGTCACACTAAACTCCAAAACATATAAATGAACTAAAATTAAAAAACATACTAGACTAACAAAGGCCAGAGGCTCCTGACTTGGGACAGGCGCAAAAATGCGGTGGGGTTGAACATGTTTTGTGAGATCTCAACCCTCCCCCTATACCTCTAGCCAATGTAGAATAAAGAAACACATAGCAATACGCACAATAAAACTGTGAGTACAGATCTGAGAGTACTTGCAGTTACTGATAGCTAGTTCGAAGCCATTAACAACTAATAAAAAAATCATGTATTTAAGACCAAAATATCAATCTATACACCCAACATCCAATGGATTTAATGTAAAGATGTCTATAAATAAGTACACAGGTTTAATGTGTTCATATAATCTGAAGATCCCTATTGATTTTGAGGTCACTATATCTAAGATAAAGGTTTTATTTACTTAAAAAGATATGTGTAAGACAATATGACTCTAAATAACAAAAGAATCATACCGCTCATATAAGGTGCTAGTTCACAAGGTGACCGTCTGCAGGAAAACATTCACCGCACAGGAACTCATAGTTCTGACTTGGAGTCTAACTAGACAGCTACTATTACTAGATTGAGCTGGACTTTTAAGGTGCTAGTTCACAAGGTGACAGTCTACAGGAACACATAATTCTGACTTGGGAGTCTAACAAGACGGCCACTATTACTAGTCTGAGCAGGACTTTAAAGGTGCTAATTCACAAGGTGACAGTTTGCAGGAAGACATTCACCCTACAGGAACACATAATTCTGACTTAAAGTCTTAACAAGACAGCCACTATTACTAGTCTTACTTATTGTTTTTGCTCAGTTATTATTATTATTATTCTTCTTCCTCTTCCTCTTCCTCTTCCGCCGCTTTTAAATTTGAACTTGTCCGCACCCGTTCTCCAAAACCGCTTGTCAGATTAACTTAGGGTTTCACAATATGTTAGACTAACATGTCTAGTGGTGCAATCAGGGTTTTGTTTGTGCAATGGGGTTTATAAAGGGGTACTTTGAGGGCCACAAAGAAAAGAGGGTTTTACTATAGAACCCTATGGGATTTTATTTTTTAAAATTTTCAAATGATTATAAATTGAAAACCGTTTGTGATAGACACAATCTTTTTAATTGAAAATGTTCTAAATGATAAAACCCATTAAATAAAATACAGGGTTAGTCCCCAGGGGTCATCCCCACCCCCTGTCATTTAAGAAAGTTCTAATACCTTGTAAGTGGTCAAGATCCCCACCCCTAAACCATATATATTCTGGTTTGCCATGCTAAGATGGTTTGAATGATATACAGGGTTAGTCCCCAGGGGTCATCCTGACCCCCTGCCATTTGAGAAAGTTCTAATATCTTGTAAATGGTCGAGATCCCCACCCCTAAACCATATATATTCTGGTTTGTCATGCTAAGATGGTTTGAATGATATACAGGGTTAGTCCCCAGGGGTCATCCCGACCCTCTGCCATTTGAGAAAGTTCTAATATCTTGTAAATGGTCGAGATCCCCACCCCTAAACCATTTATATTCTGGTTTGTCATGATAAAGCAAATCAAATGAAATACAGGGTTAGTCCCCAGGGGTCATCCCCACCCTATGCCATTTAAGAAAGTTCTAATATCTTGCAAGTGGTCAAGATCCCCACCCCTAAACCATATATATTCTGGTTTGTCATGCTAAGATGGTTTGAATGATATACAGGGTTAGTCCCCAGGGGTCATCCCGACCCTCTGCCATTTGAGAAAGTTCTAATATCTTGTAAATGGTCGAGATCCCCACCCCTAAACCATATATATTCTGGTTTGTCATGATAAAGCACATGAAATGAAATACAGGGTTAGTCCCCAGGGGTCACCCCCACCCCATGCCATTTAAGAAAGTTCTTATATCTTGTAAGTGGTCAAGATCCCCACCCCTAAACCATATATATTCTGGTTTGTCATGCTTAGATGGTTTGAATGATATACAGGGTTAGTCCCCAGGGGTCATCCCGACCCTCTGCCATTTGAGAAAGTTCTAATATCTTGTAAATGGTCGAGATCCCCACCCCTAAACCATATATATTCTGGTTTGTCATGATAAAGCAAATCAAATGAAATACAGGGTTAGTCCCCAGGGGTCATCCCCACCCTATGCCATTTAAGAAAGTTCTAATATCTTGTAAATGGTCAAGACCCCCACCCCTAAACCATATATATTCTGGTTTGTCATGCCAAGATGATTTGAATGATATACAGGGTTAGTCCCCAGGCATCACTAATGCATATAACTTTACTGGACCAAACCAATTTTCACTGGACTTTGCCCAATGTCAGCCGACCCTGGGAATTACGAATTATGGGAGCTTCGTTTGGGAGACTTCGTAACAGCATCCTGTTACAATCATTTCTTGTTCACAATGTTACAGTCTGCAGGAAGACATTCACCCTACAGGAACACATAATTCTGACTTGGAGTCTTAACAAGACAGCCACTAATACTAGACTGAGCAGGACTTGTGAGGTGCTATTTCACAAGGTGACAGTCTGCAGGAAGAGATTAACCCTACAGGGACCACATAATTTTGACTCAAGAGTCTACAAGAGTCTTAACAAGACAGAAACAAAACTACACGTTTGGGTCTCTATAGTTTTTACCAAAAAACAGCTACAACACAACACCTTTGGGTCTCTATGGTCTTTAACAACAAGATGGCCACCAAACAAAACATGTAGCGGTCTATATAGTCTTTAACAACAAGACAGCCACCACACAACACATGTTTGGGTCTATAGTCTTGATCAAAAAGACAGCCACCAATGAACACATGTTTGGATCTCTATAGTCTTTAACAACAACACAGCCACCAAACAACACATGTATGGATCTCTATAGTCGTTAACAACAAGACAGCCACCAAACAACACATGTATGGATCTCTATAGTCTTTAACAACAAGACAGCCACCAAACAACACATGTATGGATCTCTATAGTCTTAAACAACAAGACAGCCACCAAACAACACATGTATGGATCTCTATAGTCTTTAACAACAAGACAGCCACCAAACAACACATGTATGGATCTCTAGTCTTTAACAACAAGACAGCCACCAAACAACACATGTATGGATCTCTAGTCTTTAACAACAAGACAGCCACCAAACAACACATGTTTGAATCTCTATTCTTTAACAACAAGACAGCCACCAAACAACACATGTATGGATCTCTATAGTCTTTAACAACAAGACAGCCACCAAACAACACATGTATGGATCTCTATAGTCTTTAACAACAAGACAGCCACCAAACAACACATGTATGGATCTCTATAGTCTTTAACAACAAGACAGCCACCAAACAACACATGTATGGATCTCTAGTCTTTAACAACAAGACAGCCACCAAACAACACATGTATGGATCTCTAGTCTTTAACAACAAGACAGCCACCAAACAACACATGTATGGATCTCTATAGTCTTTAACAACAAGACAGCCACCAAACAACACATGTATGGATCTCTAGTCTTTAACAACAAGACAGCCACCAAACAACACATGTATGGATCTCTAGTCTTTAACAACAAGACAGCCACCAAACAACACATGTATGGATCTCTAGTCTTTAACAATAAGACAGCCACCAAACAACACATGTATGGATCTCTAGTCTTTAACAACAAGACAGCCACCAAACAACACATGTATGGATCTCTATAGTCTTTAACAACAAGACAGCCACCAAACAACACATGTATTTATCTCTAGTCTTTAACAACAAGACAGCCACCAAACAACACATGTATGGATCTCTATAGTCTTTAACAACAAGACAGCCACCAAACAACACATGTATGGATCTCTAGTCTTTA